GCTTGCGCACGCGGGCGCACACTCTTGGCTAGACGGGTACCTGCGCACGATGGGCACGCGGTCCGCACACAGGACAGCACGCGGCGGAGGCGGAGGCGCTCGCACAGGCCGGCTTAGCGCAAGTCTCAGGAACCAAGCCGGGCGGGCGGGCGAAAGCCATAGCACGCACTCAGAATACAAAACGCTCACAGACATAGTAAGACACTTAGGACTTGGGACCCGGGCACACATGGCGCGGGTCAAAAGCCCAGAAGGACCCAAACGCACACCACGAAGATGTGGAAAATGCACATGATCACAGATGCACACACGAAAACGACCACAAAAAGCTGAAGCCCCCCGACGAGTCTGGCCATTGTGGAATGTGGGGAAGGTGCCCACGGAGCCCCAACCCAAACACACCTTTCAATACAAGCGCACCTTAATATCCCTCCTTGGGGCACAGGTCACAGACCGGGGCAGCAGGAACTGTCCGATCTGCTCCAAGCAGAGAAACGTCAGCTATGAAAGACTGAGCGTCCTTCTGCCTATGCTGCCCCTCCACGAAGCCCGCCTGTAAACACAGGAGACCACTGGTAAACACCGACGACATCGTGCGTCACCATCTCCCCCTCCCCTTTTTCAGGTACTGCAGCCACAGCCTGGGCCTTATGGTGCTGAAACATAAAGTCACTGGCTCTTTCCTATATATATGGCTACACACCTGATAGGAACACCTATGCCCAGTCTCCCAAACTGTCTCAGATTCATGGGGTCACCCAACACACAAATTACCCCCAAAGTACACACAATCGAATCCATCTTTGTCCACAGTGACAGTCTCACCAATTTATTCACAGTCAAATGCAGGCAACCACAGTTAGGGACATTTATCCAGAGATGGCTAGGATGATTGGGGTGTGTGTGTGTGTGTGTACAGGTACAGATTCTGCTAGAGTTCCTGGGGGGTTCGCCGGGCAACCCCTTTTCCTGCCAGCCCTCAGACAAGTGCTTAGAGCCCATCACTCAACTAGGAGGCTTAGGAGGCTTCCCTATCTCCCCATTCTGAGGCTCAAAAGAAGGAGTGGAGGAAGAAATCATTTAATGGGGCAGGGAGACAGCTCAGAGGGTAAAAGTGCTTGCAGTCAAACTTGACTTCAATCCTTGACTCCTGAAGTTGTCCTTTGACCCCCAACAGGCACTCCCTTAAACAAAATGTAAATAGGGTCATTGAGATAACTCAGTTGGTAAAGGTGCTCACTACCAAGCCTGATAGCCCAAGTGTGATCTCCAGACCCCACATGGTGAGAGACTGAACTGCTCTCTGGCCTGTACAGGCCTCTCATGGCTTGCACTCCCTCTTCTCCCTGTCATCCCTCTCTGTCTCTGTCTCTACAACACACACACACACACACACACACACACACACACACACAATCAATCAATCAATGTAAAAACTAAAAATAAAATGAAAATCTAAAAAACAAATAAATGTTAAAAATCACAAATAATAAAATGTAAATGAATAAATGTGTTTTTTTTTTAAATGTGGAAGTTGGAGAGATGACTCAGCAGTTAAGAGCCCTTACCCTTCTTTCAGAAGACACAGGTTCAGTTCCCAACCCCTCACATATGGCAGCTCACAACTGCTTGTAAATCCAGTTTCCAGGGCACCAGATACATGTGTTATACATTCATATAAGCAGACAAAATGCTTATACACATAAAAAGAACTTTAAGTAAGGTAAAATATAACTAACTAACTAACTAAATAAATAAATATAGAGTCTTTTGACCTCTGAGGAAAGATGTAAGGATTTTTAGGTGGATCATTCAGGTATGCTTAGTTCCCATACATTAATTTGCATCTAGCTTTCAGGTGCTGTGAGCTGGGCTTTCCCTAGCCATCTCTTCCTTTCCCCCACAGTTGGGCGGGCGGGGGGGGGGGGGTGAAGCTTGTGGTTAGCCATGGGACTTTATCTCTTTGAATCTGAGGGGTTGTACTTCAGTCTGAGGGGAACTTCCTTGCCCAAGCAGGTGAAGACTTTCACTGTCTCAGGAGATTGAGAGCCAGGCAGTGAGACCTCCTCTGGAAGAAGTCTGGGGTGGGCACACGGTTGGACTGGAGACTGAAAGAACACTTCCCAGTTTCTTGGGGGGGGGGG